GGGTCGGCTGCAGAGCTATGGCCGCAGAGTGAGCAAGTTTGCTGCCGTGGCGGGGCCTGGTTCCCCCTCAACCCCCTGCTCCCCTCAACCGACCTCTCCTCGCTGTCATCTGTGTGCGCGCCCTGTTCCATGCAGTGGCGTCGGTGATGCCCAGCACGTGCATCTGCCCCGCTGCTGCCGGCGGCCCCGTCTGCGGCGCCGGCGACGACGGAAAGCTGCAGCAGTTTGAAAGCGCGTGCCTCGCGCGCTGCCGGGGCGTGCAGAGCTCCCAGCCGGGCCCGTGCCCCGCGCCCGCCCCGGTGCCGTCGCCCGTCCCGGCGCCAGCGGCCGCGCCTGCGCCTGCGCCTACGCCCACACCAGCGCCCGCCGCCGCGCCCGCCGCCTCCCCCGCCGCGTTGCCGGCCGCGTCGCCCGCTGCGTCGCCCGCTGCGTCGACCGCCGCGTCGCCGTCGCCGGCCGCGCCGGTCGAGTGCGCGTGCCCGCGCGTCTTCCGGCGCGTGTGCGGCAAGGACGGGCAGACGTATAACAACGACTGCCTGGCGCAGTGCGCCGGCACGACTGTTGCTTCGGAGGGCCAGTGCCAAGGTGCGCGGGCTGGGGCCGCCCCGCCCATGTTTTGGGCAGGGGCTGGCTGTGAAGCATCCTGCCGTGCGCTTTTGCAGCTGCTGATTTGCTCAGCCAGATGCGTGTCTTGCTCCCCAGCTGGTGCGCTGACGGCCGTGCCAGGTTTCGTCCCCGAACATGGATGACCCGACACAGCCTAAGAAAAGGTATGACCTGCCCCGCTGCCCCGCTCTCCTGCACCTGGCGGCTTCCTGGTCAACGCGGCGGTCTGACCCTCAGGCCCGGAGTGCACCTGCCCCCTCATCTTCGCCCCCGTGTGTGGGAAGGATGGCAACACGTGGGGCAACGAGTGCGCAGCCAAGTGCGCGGGCGTCAAGGTGGCGTCCGAGGGCGTTTGCGCCGGCGGCACGGGCCCCGACTTCTCTGCAACAGCCCCTCTGTCCCCAGCCGCCTCGCCGGCGGCGCCCAGGCGCCGCAGGCGCTCGCCGCGGCCCGCCGCGGTCGGGAACATCACCGCGCCGTACGCCGCGGGCGCGGAGCCGGCCGCGGCCGGGGAGCCCGCGCCGCCGGCGGGGCTGTGCAGGTGCACGCGCGAGCTGGCGCCGATTTGCGGGACGGATGGGAAGACGTATTCGAACGCGTGCGTGGGGCGCTGCAAGAACGCGACCCAAGCCTATCCCGGGCGCTGCACTGACGGTGAGCTGGGGCGGGGCCACACAAGCACTACTGCGTGCCTGGCGACGTCGGTTGGGAGTTGGCAGGCAGAGCGCAGGGCTTGCTCCAAGCGTCGCCAACGTGGGACGGCATCAGGATATTATTCAATTTAATATAATAAAAATAAGTTGTCGCGGAAGTTGAAGCGGGTCGCCTGCAGGTGCCGTTGCAACAGCATGCGTGCACTTGCAAGATCTGCACTCGTTGGGCCGCCGCTCGATCCAACCCCTTTTCAACCCGGCGCCCGCAGTCTGCAAGGCGTGCCCCACGACCCTCAACCCCTACTGTGCCACCAGCAAGTGCGCGCCCCCGCGCGCATGGGCAGGGGCACTTACCCCTGGCAGCGCCTGCTGGCGCCTCGTGCCCCTGGCATGCGAGACCGCTGAGTTTTGTCGCCCTCCATTTCAAAGGGCACTTCATGCATGCACCCACGTTGCAGCGTCGCCTCCACTGCCGCGTCGGCGGCCCCCGCGGTGCACCCTGCATCCACCACAGCGGATGCGCTGGCAGCCCCTGCCCCTCCTCCCACCTGCCGCCAACACATCCACCCCTCTTCCCCTCCCCTCCCCCCTTGCCCCTGCTGCCCCCAGGGAGTTTGGGCCCCGCACCTATGCAAACTGCTGCTTCCTCAAGTGCAACGGCCTCAGCGCGACAGCGGACGTCGTTCTGGAGGGCAGCTGCCACATGGACTCCTGCGGCGCCGCGTGCCTGGCCAAGGCGCGCGCGCCCGTCTGCTGCGAGGGCCGGACGTTTGCCAACGAGTGCCTGGCGCGGTGCCGCGGGGCGGCAAATTGCAAGGCCAAGGCGTGCGCGGGCAGCTGTGAGTCGCGGCGCGCCCCGCAGCGGTGTCACACCTTTGAATCTGAGCATGTTTGCAGACAGGGCGGGCTTGGGGTCCCGCAATTGCGTTTAATTGCATGATTTTTCTTGCTGCATTTGGCCTCCTGATACACTCTGTGTTGCCCCACTGACACCTTGCTTCCCTGCGCGTGCATTCCCCCACCTCAACATCCCCCCTCCGCCCCTCCAACCCCCAACCCCACCCACATCCCCCACTTTCCCAGTGGCCGCGATCGACGCCGGCGTCGGCTGCGAGCTGGGCGCGTGCCCTCGCGACTGCCACAAGCAGCCGTGGGACCCCGTCTGCGTGCTGTCCGCCCCCGGCCGCCGGGAACTCAGCCGCTGCTGGGCGCGCTGCGACCCGAAGTCGGCGATCGTCGCGGGCGGCCCCTGCGCGGCCGCGCCCGCGGTGGTGCGGGCGGTGCGGGTCGACCCACACTTTGGGTCGTACTGACCGCTGTGATGGTCGCGGCCATGGCGCCGGCGGCGCACGCAGCGTCAGCCAACCAAGGGGGGCATGCCTGCGTGTCTCCGCGTCTTGCGATTTGCGTGCGCCACGCCGTGCGGCTGGACTGCTCTTCCGCGTTTTGGCCCCGGCACCGTGCTTGCCCAGCTCTGCCGTTTTGCTTGGATTCGCAGCACGCGGGTTGGTTGCCGCCTGTCACCTAGGATAGCAGGGCGGCCGCGCCGTCCCCTTACTTCCTACCCGTGTTCCAAGATCACTTGTAGCCCTTGAATGTGCTGCCGCTGCTGTAGGCTGCCGCGCTGCGCAGTGCCAGCGGCGGCCCCTGGCACCACCAACCCACATAACAGGCGCGCCAGGATGCCCCAGCGCCCACGCACCCATGGCCTGTCATCCGACCAACCCCCGCAACTCACTAACCCCCGCAAC